CATTAAGTGTTCATTTAATGGCGGGCCATTTATCAATTCTTCCGTCGATGCTGCCAAATGTTGAGGAAAACGCCAGGGATGAGCTAACTGGGCTGTTGGCTGTTGGCCGTTGGCAGGAAAAATCATGAATAATGAAAAAAATAAAGGTGGATAAAATGAAGCAAGCAGGGAACCCATCCGAAGCTGCGTTTGTCATAATAAAAGTTACTTAAAAATTGGATGGAAATATCTTAGTGAGCATAAATCAATGGCCTGTCCTCCCTCTGGTGCGCATCCCGGTTCTGGCCAATCGGGCACCAGATCTCTGGACAAGGTACAGCATGGCGTATGCGTTATTTATTTGCTGGCAGGCGTCGAAATTATGCTGAGAATATTTTCCAGCGGAGTTGTCGTAATTAGTCAGCAACGAAAAGAAATCCGTATAGCGCATCACATCCATCGTCGTATCCTGATTAGCCCCGCGCAATAGCAGGAACTTTACGTTCTGCAGCCAACACCCTGGGGGTCTTATCTCGTGTTTGGTATTTACTTAACTCTCGCAAATTAACAAACTTGTGTTTCTGCAACTTCTGCTGTCACTCGCTGCTTGATGGAGAGAGCACGCTGGGAGTGTATCTCGTATCTCGTATCTCTGTGTCCTGTTTGCTTAGGCAGAGTGCACGGATGGCAGGTGCAGATGCAGATGCAGCTGCTGTTCCCGTTCCCGTTGCTGTTGCTCTTGCAAAACTCCCAACAGGCTGCCGCAATTTATTGCTGTCCTGTTGCCAGCCGCATCGAGATACGCCTTTGGGGCAATCAAATACCAAAATGGCTTCGCTGCGCTTTGACATTTAATTGCGTCGTTCTCGGTCTGGGATGTTTATGAACTGCGAGTATTTTTTCTCTACTTTGCACAGCCACCGCCACCACCACTGAATCACTGAACCACTCCCACTGTTCTGGTCTCTTTCCCCACCATCTATCCGCCACTTTGCCCCGATGCCAGAGCTCCTATGTGTGGGCGATTTTAATAAACGGCAACCCTGTCAACGGGTCCAATTCGAGGAGCATTCTGTGGCCGTGTCAGAGAAATCCCCACCATACTCGTACGCGTACAGTTTTCAATTTGCTGATTGGCCTGTGGAGAGAAGGCAGCACGAATAACGCCCCCTAAGCCCGTCTCACATCAGGATTACTTTATTGAATGCAACACTTTAGATTTGTGTACTACTCTAGTGCGCTTGCCCTTGTTCCGACGGATGCCGGGCTTGGCCTTGCTATGACGGAAGCCGTGCTTGCGCCTCAGTGCCGCCAACTTGTGATTCCGCTGCCGGTTCTTGTACTTTGATCGCCTGTTGAGGCGGGCTCGCGATCTCAAACCCCCGCCCCGACGCGTCCGTTGTCTGGCGCCCGTCCGGCGCCGCACCGTTTGGGTCTCGACTTCCTCCACAGATATCTCCTTGTCGGCATCGTAGTGGTACGAATAGCACTTGACCTTTCCATTCTCAATCAGGCACAACCAGCTGATGTCAGTCCATTCGCTGGCTGCCGGTGCGGTCTCGCAAGAATCGCCCTGGCAAGACACAGATCCGGAGTAATCGTAGTCCGAATTTGTGCCTGTGCCAGGCGCGAGCGGAGACTGAATGAACTCCATAGGAAACTGATTTGGAGGCACACCGCCAGGCGCTCCGCCAGGCACACCTCCGGGTACTCCTCCGGGCACTCCGCCGTGCACTCCTCCGGGTACTGCGCCAGGCACTCCGCCGGGTACTCCTCCGGGTACTGCGCCAGGCACTCCGCCGGGCACTCCTCCGGGTACTGCGCCAGGCACTCCTCCGGGCACTGGTCCAACCCCAGCTCCAGGAATCTGTCCAGTAAGCAATCCTCCATGCTGTCCTCCAGGCTGTCCTCCAAGCTGTCCTCCAGGCTGTCCTCCGGGTACTGCGCCAGGCACTCCTCCTGGTACTGCGCCAGGCATTCCTCCGGGTACTGTGCCAGGCACTCCGCCGGGCACTCCTCCTTGTACTGCGCCAGGCACTCCGCCGTGCACTCCTCCGGGTACTGCGCCAGGCACTCCGCCGGGTACTGCCCCAGGCACTCCGCCGTGCACTCCTCCGGGTACTGCGCCAGGCACTCCGCCGGGCACTCCTCCTGGTACTGCGCCAGGCACTCCGCCATGCACTCCTCCGGGTACTGCGCCAGGCACTCCGCCGGGCACTCCTCCGGGTACTGCGCCAGGCACTCCGCCGGGCACTCCTCCGGGTACTGCGCCAGGCACTCCGCCGGGCACTCCGCCGGGTACTGCTCCAGGCACTCCGCCGGGCACTCCTCCGGGTACTGCGCCAGGCACTCCGCCGGGCACTCCTCCGGGTACTGCGCCAGGCACTCCGCCGTGCACTCCTCCGGGTACTGCGCCAGGCACTCCGCCGGGCACTCCTCCTGGTACTGCACCAGGCACTCCGCCGGGCACTCCTCCTGGTACTGCGCCAGGCACTCCTCCGGGTACTGTGCCAGGCACTCCTCCGGGTACTGCGCCAGGTACTCCGCCGTGCACTCCTCCGGGTACTGCGCCAGGCACTCCGCCGTGCACTCCTCCGGGTACTGCGCCAGGCACTCCGCCGGGTACTGCGCCAGGCACTCCGCCGTGCACTCCTCCGGGTACTGCGCCAGGCACTCCGCCGGGCACTCCTCCGGGTACTGCGCCAGGCACTCCGCCGTGCACTCCTCCGGGTACTGCGCCAGGCACTCCGCCGGGCACTCCTCCGGGTACTGCGCCAGGCACACCGCCGGGCACTCCTCCTGGTACTGCGCCAGGCACTCCTCCGGGTACTGTGCCAGGCACTCCGCCGGGCATTCCTCCGGGTACTGCGCCAGGCACTCCTCCGGGTACTGTGCCAGGCACTCCGCCGGGCACTCCGCCGGGCACTCCTCCGGGTACTGCGCCAGGCACTCCTCCGGGTACTGCGCCAGGCACTCCGCCGGGCACTCCTCCGGGTACTGCGCCAGGCACTCCGCCGGGCACTCCTCCGGGTACTGCGCCAGGCACTCCGCCGGGCACTCCTCCTGGTACTGTGCCAGGCACTCCGCCGGGCACTCCTCCGGGTACTGCGCCAGGCACTCCGCCGGGCACTCCGCCAGGCTGTCCTCCAGGCTGTCCTCCAGGCAGTCCTCCAGGCTGTCCTCCAAGCTGTCCTCCAGGCAGTCCTCCAGGCTGTCCTCCAGGCTGTCCTCCAGGCTGTCCTCCAAGCTGTCCTCCAGGCTGTCCCCCAAGCTGTCCTCCAAGCTGTCCTCCAGGCTGTCCTCCCGGCAGTCCTCCAGGCTGTCCTCCAGGCAGTCCTCCAGGGTGTCCTCCAGGCTGTCCTCCAAGCTGTCCTCCAGGCTGTCCTCCAAGCTGTCCTCCAGGCAGTCCTCCAGGCTGTCCTCCAGGCTGTCCTCCAGGCAGTCCTCCAGGCTGTCCTCCAGGCTGTCCTCCAGGCAATCCGCCAGGCAATCCTCCAAGCTGTCCTCCAGGCTGTCCTCCAGGCTGTCCTCCAAGCTGTCCTCCAAGCTGTCCTCCAAGCTGTCCTCCAGGCTGTCCTCCAAGCTGTCCTCCAGGCAGTCCTCCAGGCTGTCCTCCCAGCTGTCCTCCAGGCAGTCCTCCAGGCTGTCCTCCAAGCTGTCCTCCAGGCAGTCCTCCAGGCTGTCCTCCAGGCTGTCCTCCAAGCTGTCCTCCAGGCAGTCCTCCAGGCTGTCCTCCAGGCTGTCCCCCAAGCTGTCCTCCAAGCTGTCCTCCCGGCTGTCCTCCAGGCAGTCCTCCAGGCTGTCCTCCAGGCTGTCCTCCAGGCTGTCCTCCAAGCTGTCCTCCAGGCAGTCCTCCAGGCTGTCCTCCAGGCTGTCCCCCAAGCTGTCCTCCAAGCTGTCCTCCAGGCTGTCCTCCAGGCTGTCCTCCAAGCTGTCCTCCAGGCAGTCCTCCAGGCTGTCCTCCAGGCTGTCCTCCAAGCTGTCCTCCAAGCTGTCCTCCAGGCAGTCCTCCAGGCTGTCCTCCAGGCTGTCCCCCAAGCTGTCCTCCAAGCTGTCCTCCAGGCAGTCCTCCAGGCTGTCCTCCAGGCAGTCCTCCAAGCTGTCCTCCAAGCTGTCCTCCAGGCAGTCCGCCAGGCTGTCCTCCCGGCTGTCCTCCAAGCTGTCCTCCAGGCAGTCCTCCAGGCTGTCCTCCAGGCTGTCCTCCAGGCAGTCCTCCAGGCTGTCCTCCAAGCTGTCCTCCAGGCAGTCCTCCAGGCTGTCCTCCAAGCTGTCCTCCAGGCTGTCCTCCAAGCTGTCCTCCAGGCAGTCCTCCAGGCTGTCCTCCAGGCTGTCCTCCAGGCTGTCCTCCAAGCTGTCCTCCAGGCAGTCCTCCAGGCTGTCCTCCAAGCTGTCCTCCAGGCAGTCCTCCAGGCTGTCCTCCAGGCTGTCCTCCAGGCTGTCCTCCAAGCTGTCCTCCAGGCAGTCCTCCAGGCTGTCCTCCAGGCTGTCCTGCAGGCTGTCCTCCAACCTGTCCTCCAGGAAATCCTCCAGGCTGTCCCACAGGCTTGCTATTCGGATCGGATGGTGGCCTGTTGACGCTACACCAGATGTACAGTTTATTAACTACGTCCTGGATGGTCGCCCCGGCCAAGAGCTCCCTCATCAGCAGTTCGCTGATAGAGGCCACCACTTGAGGGCTTATTGGAGAGCCATTTTGTTCGATGATCTTTGCCACCTGCTTGATTACCACCTTGCCGGCACCCAAAATGGATACCTCTATCAGCTCGTCCCTGGTGACCTCTGGCGCACACAGTTCCTCCGTGTTCCTCGGGGCTAACGCGGCTTCAGGTTGAGTACGTGGACGTACATGATAAGTGCGACGACGGTGGCTTCTAGCCTCCAGAACGTCCAACAGTCCAATTATTGTGCCCAACAGGAGCAGCAGCCACAGAGATTGATTCTGCAAATGGAGATCATGTTATCATGAGATCAATCCTCTCTGGCCAAGTGACCCTCTAATAGACTTCACCATTTAAATCTTCCAATGGCAGCCACCTTCAGGTTAGGGGTTCGGAATGGAATTAGAAGTGGACTATGTGCTGTGCTCTGAACTGGATTCGGTCTATCCACCGCTTCCAAGCAGATCTGTCATGGAACAAAACGATTAGATACGCCTCAAGTCGAAAATCAAGCGTTGGGCCACACTTCGACTTATATAAGCCCCAATGGGGTGCAAATTCTTTCGGTTATCGAGGCGTTCCATGCTGTGTGCGAGCGGTCACACTGCCACAATTATACCACCCACCCACCGGCAACGGTTATACAACGAATGCGATCCTCAAATGTCATGACACTTCCCAATCCGATCCTCTATTGGCTGGCATTGACCTTGCATCGCACTTGAACAGTGGCCATCATCCCCACAGAGGCAAAATCACAAACAAATTGGAGAGCAACAACACTCAATGTGAAATGCGAAATGCAATTAATGAAAACTGATTCCGCGCCGGGGGCTGCCTCATAATGGAGGTGTTGGGCATTTTCAGCTTCGAATTATCGCTTACTTCTCTTGCGGACTGCAATGTCTGTTTACATTTTCCATTTATAATTTTCCATCTCTTCTCTCCCTTTTGGATAGCTGCTGTTGCGTGTGCCTGTTTTCAATGAAATAGTTCAGTATTTCCAGTATTGTTTGGCAAATAAAACTGGGAATATATGCACGCGGTTGCGCCTCCTCTCTCTCTCTCTCTCTCTCTCCCCTTTCTCTGCCCCTCTGTCTATCGATCCATTTGTTTATTGGCATATTTGTTTACTTTTGGCTTGAGGCTGCTGGCAAATATTCGGGCACTTAAATCGCAATGATCTATGCTTAGTGTTCTATAAATGCACCTTCATCTCTCTGTATATGTATATGTAACTGTATCTGTATATAGCAGAATCGGAATTGGTATCTGAATCAGAATCCGAAATTGTTTATGATATTTCAACGCTGCACAGAGATCTTTTCTGTGCAATTTCTTTCGGCATTCAAAACTGTCTCGTAAATACATTTGTACATATATCCACTTATACTACAAACAGTACTAGTATATGTATGTGTCTCTCTCTCTCTCTGAGGCATATTTCACATTCTGGCCCGGTGCTCGACAATTAATGCCATTCATTTCCACTGACAGAAAGATGACGTCCCGAATATTTATGTGCAGATTTATGTTCGCAGCTTATTAGATTATTTGCGGATTTGTTCAAATGAAATAGCACCCCATTTCCCCATCGCATGGGAACTCAATTAGTTGATTCATACTTGTACAAATGCAATCGTAGCTATGATCGTTGTACAATGAAACTGCCCCGATAAGTTTAATTGTTCTCTGCTCAGCAGAGTGGAAAAGGTTCATTTCATCAGTTTTTGGAATGCACTTTCAAGGAGTTCTGCGTAAATTAAATTTCCATCTCTCCGTTTCAAGCTCCACTTGTGTTCGCAATATTCCATTTTACATTTTACATTTCCCATTTCGCCAATTTCGCTGCACCGCATTACAGTTGTACTTCCTGTTGGCCACATCCTTCCTTCCACTTCCACTGCCACTGGCACTGCCACTGGCCCAGCCATTGCTTCACCCACGGCCACAGCAGCATGCGGCGGTTGGCAATTGTGCTCCAGTTTTGATGGCAACATGAGCCAAAGAGCCAAGAGCCATTAAATACGATGGTCAGCACAATGTCCTCCCCTGTGTCGGTGCGCACGAGTATCTGGAGTTTGAAGCCAGAGGGAAACTTTCGCCGCAACAATGTTTCCACACTCACGCACTCTTCAATTCGTATTTGTGCTGCTAAAATGGAAAACAAACAAATAAACGTCGCAAGAGTGGATGCCTCGACGGGTTTTTCCGATGCTTACATAACGACAGCAATACCGATGGCCAGTGGCCAATGGCTCCTGATGAGTGCGGTTCGATGGCCCCCATGGCCACGCACATTCCGAAATTGATTTCGATTTCGTTCGATTTGCTTGCATCAGCATCAGAAAGGAAGAGAAACCGAAAATGCCGTAGAAAAAGGCAGCGAAAAACATGTTGAATTGGTGGAAACCGCTTTTCTTTGCCTGATTGTGTTGCTGCACTATTTCCTGGCCATGGACATTGTACTCTCCTCAAGTGATGCTGGATGTTGCAGCAGCAACATTGGAAAAACTTGATTTTCAAGTTGTGCCATCGCAAGCGGAAAACGCATATCCCAACCAGATCGCAAGTTTCCCAGAGCTGTCGTCGTCCACTTTTGGTCGTCGTCGTTGTCGTCGTCGTATGTTGCTCTAATTGCACGACAAACTCTCGGGCAACTTTCACACACTTTTGGCGCTGTCTTTCACGTTTCCCTTTCCCCCTTTTATGTCCATAAACGTCACATGTCAGGGAGAAAAGTGAAATTTAGTGTGTGTACGCTCCAGCCTGCGGAAACTGTTGAGCTGATACAAGTACACATACTCGTACTCGTAGGAGGAAGTAGATAGGCCGTTCTAGACGAATATCTAGGATTTGCATTAAGTAATTAATATTTAGATCGTATATGACACAGACCATAGACACGACACCGAGACATTTTAATGTAATTAATTTTAAACGCAGCCTCTGCTTTGTATCTGTATTATCTGGCAGAAGGTATGGCTGTGGTATGCCATAAATATGCCAGAATAACAATACACAATGTTGGCATCTCTCCGCACCTCTCTCGCTCTTCATCTCTCTCTCTCTAGTCCTCTGTGTATCTCGACACCCGCTGACAGCAAAACCTAATAAGCATAATGAATGAACGAATGAATGAAAGAAGGAGAAAATGAATGTGTGTGTGGGGGCAAGTGGCAACCAGCTGAGTTGCTGTTTTCCCTCAACGCGTTGAACTTGTGCTGTCACCTGTGAAGGCAACGATGGGGGCCCCCACCGCCCCATGCCAGATCCCACCCTGGTGGTGTTAGTGTTGCTGATGCTGAACATGATGGTGACCCTGGCAAATGTCTTGAAATCCGCACCCAGAGTTTACTCTATTCGCATATGGGCACCACAATCGTCTGCTCTGTTTTGGCCTGTCCCGAACTGCTGTCGTTGGCTGTTGCTGTATTTAATTAATTTCTATATTAGATACACTTCATTAAAAATGCCTTGGATGTCTGAGCGTGTGTGTGTCCGTTGTGCCATTGCATTGTCAAATGTCTCGGCCCATTGTTGTGGTCTATTCTTGGCAATCGAAAGGAATTCAATGATTGAGCAGCACAAATGCGGCACGGATGGGATCTGTAGTAGAAATAGATGGCCCATGCATACCTAATGGCTTGTAAGAGATCTATGGCCCGAAGGCTTCTATTCCTATTCCCCCTTCTATTCCATCCTTCCGACAAAACACTTGCATAAGTCAGTAAATCCGCTTGTACCCAAAACACTTGAGCCCAAGCCAGTCGAGTCTTTCTGTCAAACCATTCGGAGCTTTGGCAGTGCCAGCAATTAACGCACTCAGAACCCCAGGGCCAAGAAGACGGCGAATTGGGTCAAGTGGGGCTGAGAGCGAAGCGAAGCTTGGTCCCTGCATTTGAAACTCGGCTTAATGAAATGCACTTCTGCTCTCATTAGGCAATCCATTTTGCGACTCTACACGAGCGGATTCCAGCCCTTGAGGGTGATGAAGAGAGTCAAAGCATATTATTTGAATAATTTCTTACCTAAAAATGACAGCTTTCTCCATGTAACTGTCAATTGTATGTACATTTAAAATTTTTTATTGGATTGACAAACTGCATTCGCTGCCTAAATGTTGGCATACAATGAAAGGGTTTTCCTAATGTGCCTTCCAGGCTGCCACTTAATGCAACTTTGATGTTTTTCTGGCCATGCACCGAGCAAGAAGTTTCACCTGCTGCGGATTATCCCAGAGAGAAAAATCCCTACAGCAGCCAGTAAATGAAAACTTTTGCGGTTAAAGTTTTTCCGCTTTTGTTTCGGTTGCTGTTGCACCAAAAGTATTCTTCCCCGTCTTCCCCCGCTTACCATCCTCTTGCCGCTCCACAAAATGGACTTCTCATTCGTATGGCATTCCCTGGCACTTGCCACAATGGCCACGTTCCGTGCTCACACACTGCCACTCTCCCTCTCTCTCTGACACTCACACACCGACAAAAACAGAGGCAGAGGCAGACACAAATGCATTCCTTGTCGAGTCATTCTGGGTGCGCACTCTTCCATGGTACGTAGGGCGGGAGGGCGTGTGAGGCAGCAACCAAGCGGGATGTGGGGCTGGGGCTGGCCACGGCTTTTTGGCAACAGCAACTTTGCTTTGTCATGTGCCATATTTCTTTCTCGCCCGGCAACTGTGCCGCGACGACAAAGTATCTTTTGTTTAAGAACTGCAAATGGTGGGGAAAGAGCTTTAAGGAATTTCCCCCCACCATCGACGACACTTCGAATTAACTCTTTGCGACAGCAAACAGCAGTGCCACCTCCCTTTTCTCATGATATTTCAGCGATTGCTATCAATAAGTGTTTCCTCTCTGCTCAAAGAGTTTCAGACGGCTGTCACACAAATCTTTTCCTTTCAAGATTTCCCTCGAAAAGAGTTACCACTCCACTTGACGCGAGTTTTGCTTCACTTTCTATCTAATGGGCACTATCTGCATATCGATATGCACTTTGACTGCTATTATCGGAAGGCTGCAACCCTTCGACCAAAGTCACTCATCACAGCAGGCCTTTTGAGGGAACATTTTAGAAGTTCTAAAATTTATTTTAGTATAGTAGGCCAGATTGGTTTACTAGTCAGGGAACGGCGAGCTATAAAATCATTAGTCTCCAAGTCGTCGAGCCGCACGGAGTTACACAAGGAACTCAAAACTCAAACCCAGGAAATAAAAAACCAAAAAAAAAATCGGAAAAAAAAAAAAAAAAACCGTCAAGAAAAAAAAATTTGTGTTGTGCGATTGTGTTAGTGAAATCGTTTTGCTGCGTTTTTTTTTCGGTTGTGATACTTTTTTTTCTACACGTTTCGATCGCCGATTTTGTGGTCTTTTCGTTTTGTTTTTTCTGTTCTTTCGGCTTGTGCTTTGAATCATGAATAACCTGAACGCCAATGCCAGTGCCTTCTTGTGGCAGGCTCACGCCCAGCCGCAGCCTCAGCCGCTGCCTGCACAGCCGCTGCAGCAGCCGCAGCAAGCTCAGCTGCTCCATGGTGCTGTTGTGCCGCAGGCCCGCAAGTTTGGTGGCAACAAGGGCAACTTCAACTACGCGCAGAGTCACGCTGCTGGCGGCGCCATGATGGGCGGTGTCGGCGGCGGCGGTGGCGGAATGGGTGGTGGCGGCCAGATGGGGCCTTTGGGTGGTAATCCGAATTCCTTCCGCAAGCGGCAGCCCATGAACCAGGGCTTTAATGGTTGCTGCTTCCAATCAAACGGTAAGCAAGTGAAATAATCAGCTTATCGCGTCTTTTGACCCTGCAAAAGGGACACACACACACACACACGGCACATATAATTTCTGCCGTCATGAGTTGGCAGAAAAAAAAGTGGTGACGTCAACTGACAGCTGAGCGCTCGGCTCGCATGGTTGTATGTGTGCGCCTGTGTTGTTGTACCAGGTAGTGTTGTACAATTCCCAATTCACATTTTTTCCCCCCTTGTCAACATTTGTCACTAAACACTGTTCAACACAGATGGAAATTATTCAAATTGAATTCTTGTACTACTCACTCACTGTTCGAATTGTTAAATATTTTTGTGTGCCGCTGGCGACTGTTGCACAAATCACTAACCGTATATTTTCTTCCTTCTTACTTGCAGGTAAGTCGCTGTTTTCTATACCCGAAAATGTTGTTATGCTTGAGAGCCGTAAGTACATTTGAAACTACAACCCGATTACCAACACTAAACCAAACCACACTATAACACAAATACAAACACACACACACATACATACAATACTGAATACTGAATACGAATACCAGCACTAAAAACGAAGCAGAAAAAAAACTCTTTCCGAACCACCACACGACTGCAAAACCGAACACAAATACCAATGCACATACGTACGAATCAATTTTGGTTTCGGCGGGCTATGAAAAGTAGTTTTTTTTTTTTTTTGATGAAATGCAAACTGTAAAATTAATTACCATCGGAATGGGGCAGCAGCGGCAGCCCAAGTTCAATTACAAAATAATACAATGGCTCGGTGGCCGCCGCGCTCGTGCAACAAAATAGATCAAAAGCGGGCCTGTGAACATTTGCATCTCAATGTGGAAAATATTTTGCAAAATTTATCAATTTCGGTTCTGTTTTCGTTCATTCGTTCCCCCTCCGCCCCTCCGCCACGCTTGCCTCGCTACCCAGCCAGCGTAATGCAATTTAAATTTTTTGTCTTGCATGAATTTTCAATTGCTATTTCTTCACGGCGCTCCATTAACATTTCCATAACGATGACGTGGATAGTCCAGCAGTATCTGGCAAGATTTTCACGTTTCCTTCCCCTTGGTTTTTTTTTCGTTTCGCTTTTCGCCGTTTCTATTTTTCTTTTCCCATTGTTTTGTTATTGCCCGGCGATTTGCATAATTTTCAATGCTCAATGCACGCAATTTTCATTGAAAACGTCGAACTAGGACTGTGGCAGGCGGGGAGCAATACATTTTATCTCTACGAGTATAATCATTGCCCTGTGAGTACGGGATCCTTTGTTTTTAGTGCCCCTTACGGAGCAGCAGGGCGTCAGTTATGCATCCTTTCGTTGGAGCAGGAGGGACCTGCGATCGATCCAATGAGTGTATGTACACACTGATTGTTTGCCTGCCATCCGCGAGCTTTAGTCAATTATTATTATGGGTCGTTTTCTTAATGGAGCAAGAAGGCAGCAGATTATGACAACACACCCACCCACAGCATCAGAGAGTGTCATACAAATATGAAATGGCCATTTGAATAATTTCTGTACGCAGCAGAGCACACGACGAAGCCGAACAAATTTGCACCATAATTAAAATAAATGCTTTCAATGGCCAATAATTGCCAAATAAATTAATTTTAATTGCAGGGCGGCTGTCGGCTGTTGCGGGGGTGGTGGCAACCGTTAATGTTGCGGCGGCCTAAAAATATATTTCAAAAGTGGCTAAAATAAAATGTTCGCATGAGCCTCCGCCTCCCCCTCCTCCTTCTTCTTCTGCTTCTGACTCTGCTGTACGCTCTCTTTTTTCATCCGTCTGTGTGCGCATTTTATTTTTAAATGTTCCGCTTCTGACTCTGTCCAATACGAACCGTGCCACGCCCACAGCTTGCACTACCACCAACAGAAGCAACAGCACCACTCGCAGCAGATGTCGTGTCGCACGACATAGTATTACATTTTTGTGGTATATTTGCAGGTGGCAAATATGTTGGCAAAACACTTAAAAATACATAAAAATACCAATGGGGATGAATGTATGTTATGATGGTGGTGTAGGGAAAGCTATTCACTTGACATGTTTATGGCCTTCTGCCCCAAAGACTGTTTTCCATGGGATCAGCATCCGAGTCACTCAAAGATTTACGTATGTGGGCGTTCATTAAACTCACATCCGTCCTCGGGCCATCCACATCTCCGCATCCACAGCCAAAGTCGGCCAATCACTTAGTTAATACAACGACACACACGCGGAATCATTTGGGAGCGAATGAATATGTATTTGCATAAGTACTCACTCATTCAAAGATACTCGTATGGCAATGTGAATGTTCTGATGGGGTGCTTTCAGCCACCGAAAGTAAACTTGACTTTTTGTTTGTTTTTATTTATCCCCGCCCCCCCGCACCCACAATTGAGTATAGTATATGCATATGGCCTGGCCTGGCCTGGCCTGGCCCATGGAGGTGGCTTTATTTTGTGGCATTACAACGTCGCTCCTCCTACGGGTTTTGTTTATCTTCTGGTCTGATTGTTGTGCCTTACTTTTCCGGATTGACAGCGCATTTAGTTTGCTTTTCCTTTTCCACTAACATTTCCCCCATTGTTTTTTGGCCAATATTTGTTCGTCTAATGCATTTCTTGATGGTTTCATTATTGCTATGGTTCTGCGGCAAACTATAATTAATTTAATTAATTCTTTTTGGTTTTGTTTGGTAGGCTTTTTCTGTGCAACATTTTCACCCATAAACCAGTTGCCGTTCGGTGACTGTCGGGCCGTAAATCTTGCTGTTACCACGACAAAAACGCAGCATCTTTCCCACCATAAATTCATGGTAAAATCCAATAACAGTGCCAGGGAAGCAGAACAACAGGGCGTTGGGTAGATTGGGATAGTATGAGCGGGCAACAAGAATACCAGACAACCGCATCCCGCATGACCAAAAATATAAATTGTGTCGCTTGCATTTTATGGTAATTCAATAAATTGAAAATGACAAATTGTGTCATGTTGCGGTTGGCATTGGATTGCCACACCAGAACAGACCCCGCAACTGGGAGCCCTGCCACTCGTGCGGGAATGAAATGAAATGCTGGGGATAATTAAATCTATGTCGAGCATCAATAAAAGTTGCAAATGCTTTTAAAGTTGCTGCCGTATGTCCATCTCCAGGCACCGCAGTGGCAGTGGAGAGGAGGATGAGGAGGAGGCATCTCCTCCACACCCACTCCCTGGCGCCCATCAATCAATCAAGGACGATCAATCAAATTGTTGTCAACAGCGAAGCATACGGCGCACGCAGCTAACGACTATGTCGGAGGCGGATGCGAAGGCGATGATATTGCTGTCGCTAGATGGCGTGTCGAACAAGAACAATGTCGCTATCTTCGGTTGGGTGAACTTTTCCACGCACCATCGCCGGCAACTCCACAGCTCCACCCACCCCCTGCTGACCCACTAACGAGCGCTAATGGACACCAGTCCCGCCAGCTTCTTATCCTCCCCATCTTAGCTTCAAGCCGAAAGGAAACTATTGAACCAAAAATGTTTTAGTTACTATTTCAGGGTGGGGGGCAGTAGAAGTGTGAGGGTGATGGTGAGGGTGGCAAATCTGAGGGATATGGAAACTTTGCCACTCCACGCAATATTGCGTCGATTATCTTCAATCACGAGCCCGTGATTGATGACTGCGACGACGTACTGGCCGGAAGACACTATTAGATCGGACAGCAGGGCACAGCGCTGCTTTAAACTTCCTTCCTGCAATCCTCCCAGAAGACGACGAGTAATGCCTGGCAATTCATCAGCGTCTGCGGTATTATTGAAGGCTTTATTGTTTGCCGTTTTGATTGCATTCTCAATTGGCTAGCTGGCGCAGAGAGTGTTCGTAATCCCCCCTGAGAGAGGGGGCAGGGCGCAAGCTAAAAATCGCATATGATTACCTTCTACCAAGTAGATCATTACTGGCTGTCCTCTCCTTGAGTTTCTTATACAAAAAGTTTTATTTTAAGGAAGTTTTTGAGTAGGGAGAAAGGAGCGATTAGCCAGGCAGCTGCTTTGTACCGAATTTGGTTAATTTATGCCGGACACGGCTGGTGCGGCTCTGCAGCTTTTTGCCCTTCGCTTCAACTTCTAATAATTTGTAATTAATTTGTGCATCTGGCTGGGCTGGCTTGGTGGCGGCAAAAAACGTTTGGTGTGATGTGGTGGCAGCTTTTTTGTCCGCCTCACACTTTTGTATAATTTTCCACAGCAATTAATTGGACATTTTGCTAATGCGTCTGCCACTGGCAGTTTTTGCCATCCGCGCAACCCGCAACCCCAACCCCAACGCCACTATGTAGAAGAATCGTGCAATTTTGCAAATTACAATATCAAAATTGTCCCCCAGCTGCTGCACTCTGTACTTTTCCATGGTTCGCTCGCTTTTCTTTGCTGTTTGTTGTATTTTTTATGGCATTATCGATTTTCGCTTTTCCCCCACTTATCTCTATCGTATCGCCAGCAGCGGGCAACAAAAAGCCAGAAACTTTATCAAAGCAGAAACTAAGTAACGTGAACGAATTCGTTATTGGAGTCGGCGTTCGCTGCGCGCACTTTGTTTAATATGATAAAAGAGTATATGTATATATGTACATACATACATACAGTAGAACTTCGACAGCAGAAACTTTGATTAATGGGTCGCCAGTTAGTTGCCCAACTAATGGACAAGTTTCAATGGAAATCATAAATATTCTGTGGTAATTCCACTGTAGACACTACCATAGATACACGGCATTTGTTTGCAGACGATGGGGGAGAGCCATTTACTAGAAAAACGCTTCAAAATGTCATATGCGAGGTTGGGCCAAGCGGCAGGGCCAGCATTTTGCTGCTTCCTTCCCCATAAAGTCAATACACTCGTATCCATCCAAGTCGTTGTTCAACAAACAACGAACGAAACAGACAAGGATGGCCAATAAAGTTGAGGGATATCGAGGGCACTCAACGCTCGAGCAAATGTCCCTAGCGATATTTTCTCTTGAGCAAATGTAGCCATACAGGATATATGTACATGTGCTGTACGTAAAAGGGGCCAAGTTCTAGCATTCAGTAACTCAAGGAGGTTGAAGACTGTCCAAGAATTTAAGTGCATTCCAAGGAACTCTCTGCTGGATGACTGGATCCCATAAGTGGGTGTGTGCAGGGTGTGATGGTGAGCGAACTGATTGCATGTGGGTTTTGCATGCTATTAAAGCCGAGTCCCAAAATATTGACCAAAGCGATAATTAGGCGAGGCCAAAAGCAAATCTCAGACAAAGGCCAAGTCCTGGTTTAGCCAAGGCCAGCTTCAATTTGCTAAGAACACACGCACGCGCCAGCAAGCAAGGCTATGAGAGTGTGTGTGTTTGGGTGTGTGTGATTATGAATTATATTATAAATCCTCATATACACGGCCTTATCGGGGCACAGTCCACCCACCGTTGTGGGCCCCTGGCACACAGTGGAGCACAACTTAAATGCCATTTGGCGTCTCTAATTATGTTGTCCTGCTCCACCTCCACCGCCACTTCGTACTCGTTCTCCTACTTGTCCTTGCCGGCGTCAACGTTCTGCGTATTTGTTCTTCCTGGCAGTTATTGTCTGTTGTCTGTTGCCTGTTTGCGCCCATGTTTGCACTTGGCCCTAACCCCAGGCCCAGCCAGACTGAAGGAAGCCGGAAAGAAGTGCCGCGCCATTAGGGTGGAGGGTGGACGGTAAATGGGGAATGGGTGGCAGAAGCACACACCAATTACATGCGTTTGTATTATTCAAATCCGCCGTAAATGTAATTAAGCTCATGGGAATTAAGCGTAAATTTATTTCAGCCAGCTCCGGTACCACTCCCCGGCAGCAGTTCAGTTCAGTTCCGTTTCACAATCCTTTTTCACTCCTTTCACGCCATGGCGGTTTCTGCTAACTCTGCTTATCGGGTCTCTAGGCTAATTTCTCCAACCAAAATGGGGGCCGACGAGTGTAACTGGATGGGGAGGGAGTGCAGAACGTATCGCATATAAATTGGCTCATTGCCCGAAGGTAGCTCTGTGGCACGACGATTTCTTTCTGATAAGCAATGGCATTTCCTCCTCTCCTGGATAAAGCTCATCGAATTTCAGTTTCGTGCTGGGAAAGTTTTGATAAAATCTCCACAGAATCCATCCTCCCTGAGAACTGGGAAGCCAGATTGGGAGAGAGAGTTTGGGCACATTAAAAACCAATCAGGCGCGTTGTCACATAATCAACCCACAGCGCTCATCAGACCTCTGCCCCTAGCCTCCCCCCTGGCATAGAGCAGCGGCACTTTCCCCACAATCTTTTCCCTATTATGAGTATTTTTTATAAACTCTCGCTGGGAGCAGATTGACTCTGGGAGGGTGGGAGGGAGGCTGAGGGTTCTCGTATCATGTCACATCCAGGGACAACTCTTTGCCAGCATAATAGTTTTGCTTATGAAAACAAATTCAATTTTGAAGCTGCTTATGGAAATGTTTATGCGAGACGTGAGCGCCAACTGTTGGGGGCCCCAGAGCTGGGGATGATTTTCCAGAGCACGAGGAGGGAAAACTGCTATGGAGAAAATTAATGTCACATGAGAGGACGCGCGCACCAGTCACAAAAACAGCATTGCTGCTGCTGCTGCCAAGGGGTAGGAGAAGGAGAAGCCAACGGGTAGTAGGAGCTAGAGAGGGACTTGGGGGAGGGGGCTGTGTCAGTACCATTAACAGTACGGAAGAACAGGGCGTGGCTGTGCATGGAGCCCCAGATAAACGGGACAACAGCCCCGATGGGTGCGTTGTCATGACTCTTGGCATATTTTGCAGTTCGGTACAGTTTCGTCCTGCTGCTGCTGCTGCTGCCGCTGCTGCTCCCCTCTGACGCAAACAAATTGAAAATCATTGAACAGAGAGGGTTCATATGTGGGGGAGTAGGTGTGGGTATGGGCAAATGCTCGCCTAAGCAACTCTGCAACCGCTGCGACACTGATGCACTGCATTTTGTTGCAATGTAAGCAAGCAAGTGTGGTGGCTGGGCGCGGGGGGAGTTCACTGCAAGATATTGTCGCACACATTTAAGCAAATTGCAATTAAGGGGCACAGTGGGTGGGAGGAGGGGGAATCAAAGGGAATATGCTGCCAGTTGCCAGTATGCCAGTTTTGTTTGTCCTGCTCCGTGGACCTGCGAATGGCAATGGTTGATGCGAATCGCATTCCCCTTCTCGTTCTGCTACGCTACACTGTATGCAACAATTTGCAGCATAAATACTTTGAGTGCCTGCCCCGCCCCCCTCGCCAGTCGCATTAAACGAATGGATTAAGTTTTGCCCCACCCACACAGGGAGCTTTAATGGATTTATGCAGGCCTCCTCCCCTTTGGGTAAAACGTGTTCTTTGTTGGAGCTTTCTAGAAAGTCTTCCAGTTCTACGCTGATTTAAATCAATGCTTTGTTTGCTATATGTACATCCAGCAGCTGCTTGGAATTCCATAAATTGTTGGCTTCCAAACCTAAACATATATATGCACATATATTTAGTTTTCCACATAACTTCTGGCGGGGGGAGGGGCAGAAATCGTTTGCATACGCTTTCGCAACTTTCTCTAATTGCAAACCAACAAAGTACTTAATTGTGGCACACATGTCCTTTAAGTAAGCCGCATGGAAACATTTCTGTATGCAAATGGCGGCCGCACACACTTAGCGCTCCATAAAACAGAACTAAACTTCAACTTCCGTCTGCTGGCTCGCACTCTCCCCGTGCCACTGCCACTGCCACTGCCACTGCCTCTGCCTCACTGTTATACTCGCTCGCTCTTCCCTGCTGCGGCAGCACATAATCTAAAATAATTTGTGCGCACTGAAAATTTACACCTGCTCGGACTTGCCACCATTCTGGGCCGGTGTCGGCGACGCCTTGCGTGCGAAACATTTTCCAGCAATTGCATGCAACAATTCCCCAAATGCTTAAACATTTTAGGCACGCTTCCGACACCGTCGTCCAGCCCGGGGCGGGAATTTTTCTTTTCTTGTGCCACCTCCGTTACACATTGTGGCTGAAACTTGATTGGGCGCTGGGGTGGACAACGGAGGCGGAAGCTGGAGTTGTTGGCAGGTTCGCTTGCCTGGCGTCACGCATACGCCCCGTGTTGCAGCAGCAAATCAGCGAGGGCTGTGAATTTCAATTAAAGCCAAAGCAGCAGGGCAACGCCACCATCCACTTGAAATGAATGACTATGTCTGGAGCTGCTGGGACCGGATCGGAATGGACGGCTGGCCTCAGGCCATGGCCACAATGTTGTTTGGCCCTTGAACACTTATTACAGTTTATTCTGGCTGTTATTGACTCTCGGCTCGGACCATCGCTCTGGGGGGTGACACAGGGGATTAGCATGCATGTCAGAAGCCAGTGGCAGAAAGGAGAACGGCCTAAGCAACATTTCATTCATTTCCCATCCCCACCGCCCATTGCCCAAAACCGCTTGAACTTCATCGGGGATTATTTACTTACGCAAAACTTTGCCGAATTGGAACGTGCCGATTCAACTGTTCGGGGTGAACGCTTTAAAGTTCTCACTCACCCAACATCAAACGGATTAAGGTCGAGTGAAAAATTGCATCAATTTACGTTGTTTGTGCTGTGTGCTCGTCTCCTCTCCATCCCTCTCCAATCCCTATCCTGCCACAGCGAAAAACAACAGTGGAAAAGCTGAAAACTAACAACCAACATAAAAATGGTTGCTGTCGATCTTCTCGTCGCGCTGGCGAGTTTCCGTCTGTGTGTGTGTGGATTTTTATGCAAATATTTTGTCAGGTAGCCCCAAAGCCCAAAAACAAACTAGCCGTGCCGTGGTTCGGACTCTCTGTTGTATAACCAGAGGGGAGCTAGAGCCAGAGCCACAGACACAGACACAGCCACAGCGTTGCAACTAAATCAAATCAAAGCAAAAACAGCTCTCCTGTATGAAGTCCTGGCAGCAGCAGCTCTGCCATAACAAGCCCCATGCAAATTCAGTTTCCGACGTGTCAGACTGCTCTTCCAGCCCAGCCCAGCCCAGCCCCTCCACCAGCTAGTAGTTCCCTGTGCATGGCATTAACTTTGCGAGTGATTAAGTTAGAGAGTGTTTGGGTTAAACAACACTAGAAACTTGCAACAACTGCCACATGTGCGACACTTTTAAAGTTAATTAAATGTCTTCCAGGGCTGTGCGACCACCGCTCTTCCCCCCCCTTGTCATCTTGTCTATGCCGCCATATTTGCCGCGACATTTTGACAGTTTGTAGCCGTTTCCGCTTTAATTATAAGTGGGTTATGTGTGGGGGATTTGCGCGGCTGTGGTTGCCTCTGCTGGGATTCAACACAGTGGGTGGCCCTGTCGATGGCTCTGCCAGAAGTCGGCGATGCGGAAATGTTTATTGTTATTTCTGCACAGTGGGGCGAAAATTGGATTGTAGATCAGCCAGGCGACTCCCGGTTCAGTGCCATAGCTAAGGGCTATTCTCGGCCATTTCCGGTCCCCGCACACATCCAGTGCAACCGACCGCCATAAAGCAAAACACAAAATGGCAGCCCGAAGAAAAGCCTAGACCAATTTGGTGGCGTATCCTCGTTTGCGCTCCATTTTTTTTTTTTTTTGCTCTCCCTGGCAAAAATTCAATTAACTTACATGGCCAAACCGCAGTCGAAGCCGCAGTCAAAAGGAGGAGCCAACCCGTTCCGAAAACCCTGCCAAAGCTCATCTGACCACGACAAAAAATATCAGCCCCCGCGGAGGAAGGGCTGCTCCTCCTTGACGTCCCTGTGGCAAGTCTGTGAGCGCTGCTGGTTCGTGGTTTTCGAAGTCTGGCTGGGGCTTGCTATTAGAAGAACTTTCGCACAAGGGATGGGACTACGGACCGTGACTGAGACTGCGACTGGAACTACGGATTAATCATCGTCGTGAAATGCAACAACAATAAACCAAAACCAAATCAAACCAAATATAATATGTACATCCATCCATCCATCCATCCACCACTAACCGTAACGTTTACTTTAAGTCTTAGCTCTTAATACTGGCTAAATCCGAATACGTTTTCCTTTTCTGTTTCGTTTCATTTTGTTGATTTGCCTAACGTTTATTGTTGTTGCATGCAATCGGTTGCAAAAACTTACAAACAAACAAATCAATGCACAAAAAAAATGCAGTTGCACCACAACAACAACAACAACAACATGCACCACAACAACAACAACACCACCACCACCAACAACAACAACAACAACCACATCATCACCACCACCACCATCAACTAGTTGCCCCAGCTCAATCGCACAATCTTTGTCAATTTAAAGAGCCACCGCTATTGGGACCAGGCGCCGCCTTCCCGACATTCGGAGCCCCCGAATATCATCCCACCACACCGGACAACTGGAAGGGAGCCTCCATCCATCCCACTGGACTCATGAAGGAGCCCACCGGCGTGGTGCCCGGACGCAATGCTCCCGTCGCCTTCACACCTCAGGGACAGGCACAGGTGAGTGTTTGACGCGTGATGGTGGAGGAAGTATGTGTCGAAGACAGCGACTTACGTACACCTCTGAAGTGGCTGGCACACAAATTGCATCACACGGATATAATTTGAATTTCCGCCAATATCTGGGCACACGATATACGATACACGATACGAAAGGAGCCGTATCAAAGCCGGATCCTCCTCCCTGCCAGACACAATTTTAATTAACTTCTCGTTCTCTCCCCGTTTTTTTCTTTCTCTGGATGTCGCTGATGTAGGGCGCTGTCATGATGGTCTATGGCCTGGACCATGACACTTCCAACACGGACAAGCTCTTCAATTTGGTGTGCCTGTATGGCAACGTGGCCCGGGTAAGTCAGATTTTTCCTATACTACGCTATATATTACGATATAAGCAATATAATAGTATCCACTGTCACGTGGGTTCTTACAACCCAGCGAATAGTGAATCACAGAGATAATATTCAATAGGGCAGCCGCCCCTTTGATGAATTTTAGAAACAAACTAAAGTAAAAGCTCTCATGACTTGAATTTTCATTATGAAGCACACTTCAGGAGATGTCGATAAAAAATCCCTTGCTTTTATAACCTTTTAGAATGTGAAGAAACGGAAAAAGAAATATCCCCAGCTTGCACTTAGCCGGAAAGCTGACAAAAGGGGAAAAACGCGTTTCATTGCCTTTGCGTTGGTCGTCGGAAGTCGGCAGTCGGCAGTCGTCAGTCAGCACTTTGTGTAGAAGGCCTGGCCCAAAAAAAAAAGAGCTTGGAAAAAAAGGTGTTTGACTGTGGAGCCGCAAGACACTTTTGTGTCTGTGGGCCATTTGTAAATGCGCAAATAAAACGAAAGGCAATAAAAGGACGAGACCAGGACACCGCCTGGAGAGGCAGTGGCAGTGGCACTGGCACTGGCACTAGCAGTACTGCTGGCCAGTCGGATCGGCAGGGACATTTAGATAAAGCGATTTAGATTAATACCCTTAGCCGTGTGTGTGTGTGTGTACATGTGTGTGTGTGTGGCATGCCTCGGGACAGCAATCAGTGCAGCGTCATCAGCTTTATCGTGAGGCGGGCAGGGGGTCTGGGGTTCTGGGGCTTTTGCCTCCAACAATGCGAAAACGATTGGCAGTCGCTGTAAATCAAAACACGATGACGACCAAAAAGGAATCCATTTAAAAGCTTTGGCAAATGACAATTCAAAATGTTGCCATTGTGAGTCGGAAGCCAAAAGGAATACTCGCTTGGGGAGCGTTTAGTGCATAAATGGAGCGCCACCCCGCCACTCTACCCGTCGCCCCACCCGCCCGAAACTGACATCAAAGTCAAACGCCAAAAACTTTCGTAGCTTGTGCCACTGCCACTGCCACTGCTTTCACTTTATTGCTACTATGGCTTCTGTACCTCCTCTCCTTGTTTGTCACATGGGGCTGGAGCTGGAGCTGGATTGCGAGTGTGGGTGAGGGCGTGGGTGTGTGTCCTTTGACAATTGCGCTCACCAAGGACACACCGACGTGGGTTCTCTTCGTTGTCGCTCCCCATGACATGTTTTGTTTTCTTTATGTCTGCGATAAAGCGAGTCAAGGCGACTGGGGACCCCAGGAATGACTTTCCCCGAACTCTGAAGTGGCTATGGCCAAGGCAAAGGCAAGGGATTTTCGTAGCCTCAAAGCAGTTTAAGGGGTTTTTCATTCAGAATTTCATACACAATATACCCCCCGTACATTGGAAATTCCAAACATACTCGTAAGTGGGACTCTTTAAAATGCAAAGAAAATCACCCCGAGAATGCTCGATCGAAGTCCTTATCTATCCGGCCACTGCATTATATTATCCATGCAAATAGTAGGACCACCACTCTCCAAGGCAGGGCTCTCCACTGGCCATTAGTTGGGGGTGGGGGTGGGGGTGTGACGATAATTCAGGACACGGCCATTTAGCTCGGTTTCTTTCTGGGCTCTGGCTCTGGCTCTGACACTTGCCCTGACTGGGTAGATGGTGGATATTTATTGCCAACTTCCTGTCCGAGACGGAAACTACTCATTAGCCATTAAAAATGATTATGCGCAAACATTATTCACTGGCCGGCTAAGCCGCAAATATACATTTTCTCCACGCTGCCCACGCTCCCAAGTTCTGGTCTCTTTTCTCTTCTCTCTGTCTCTTGTCTCTCGCCTTGCCTGGCTCCCATCGCAACGCTGTTGGCCGCTATCTCATTATAAAATCTGTATAAGTGTGCGGCGTGTGTGTGTGTGTGCGTCGGTTTATGGGCCGACATGTTTGAATTGCGAATGAGAAATTGATGGCCACTCAATCAAAGTGAGTTTCCTTCTCCTCTCTGTTGCTCCGACCCTACCTCCTCACCCACACTTACACCCGATGTGTCGGTGTTAATGGAAATCCCATGGAAAAGTATTCGGGATCAGACCCTCTGTAATTTAGGGATAAACATAGGCAACGCCTAACCGAATCAGGCATATCCTTACCCATACATACATATGTATATGTGCGAGCGGAATTCATTTGGAATGGTGTTGGCTAAAAGCAAACATCCCTGCCATAACGGATGTTGTAGCGGAGCAGCGGATGCCAAGAGGAAGGTAGTCGATTTCAATGGGGTTTGGCATAAACATTCTGTTGGAAAAATTTGATTAACCTGCCGAAAAACGTAGGCCGTAGATGGTAGAATTTCAACCTGTCGAAGCTCACCAAGAAAGCTGTCAAATGTGACAGAGGCCCATGGGGAGTAGGAGAGGCGACAAGATTGGATTGTGTTTGCATTTTGTGATTTGTAATTTGATGGGGGTGCGGGCCCCCTAGATGTGTACACTTTTATGTATCCCCTTGGCGTTTTGGCTGGCATATTTTTGAAGCCAAAGCCATTCAAGTTGAAGGGGGAGGGGCGACCAGCTGGTTAATTATTTCTGGAGCTATGCGATGAAGTCATCATCAAATTGATTTTGCAGGTTAAATGGCATGACACAAATAGTTCGAAGGGCCTGGTGGGGTATGGTGGGGCCAAGTTGCTGACAGGGCTAAAAGCTACGAAAGGAATGGAGGATGTCTTTAAAGACCAACCCCCAAGCACACACACACACATTTACACAAATACACACCACGCACCCAATTAAATGCGCATTAAAAAAACATTTGGATAGATTCTGGGGAAACGGAAGTGGAAATGGAATTGGTGGTGTGGCTGATGGCGGGGCCAGAGGTCAGCCATCGCGGCTGGTTCCTCTTGTGCCGAGCAGCGCGTGAGCAATTAAATCAAATGGCAGAGCTGAGCAGAGCAGACACCATGCCACAATGCACAGCAAAGCGATGGGGTCGCGGCGGGAGCGAGCGGGTCGCATTTTAATTAACGCACCACCGCGAGGGGGGCAAAAAGCACCAGCACCAGCACCAGGAGGGCGAGTGAGCCACCACGCAACAGCACAGCTCATTAGACACGCACCGAATGTTTGCCGCCGCTGACCAGCAGTGGCCATTCAGCCATGAAGCGCTCTTTGATTTGCCCAGAGTCCTGTCCCTGCTCCTCATCCTGCTGTCCTGCTGTTTGTCTATATATGTATATGTGTGTGTGTGTGTCTGTGTCTGTGTTAGCCTTCTGTTTGCATGTTTGTAATTTCATTATCCCTTTGTTTTTCCCGGGACTGCGACTGGGAATGGAAATGGGGGGAAATTCGGGGCATATCTGCCCGCTTTCTGCTTGACTGATTTATGGTCTATATTTAGTTTTATACATTGTTTCACTTTTATGATTCGTTTCGAGACTCGCTTTTGTGTTTCGTTTTTCGATAAGCTCCATTTGCTTTTTATTTAGTTTGGGCCATCCCACGGTGCCAGCCTTTACGCCAGTCGAGCGTATGCATTCATTTTGATTGCAAACCACTCGGGGCACAGAGAATCAAATAAATCGACGCACAGTCCAATGCGGATTGTATGGGCGGGCTTCTGTGTTTGCACCACTCACAGCCCCATTGGCCATCGGTAGTCACCTTTATTTACGTTTGAATATCAACCAGTGGATTAGAGAATTAAAAAATGGCAAGCCAATGATTTGTGCTGTAGTTAAGAATTAAACCAATTCATTTAACTCTTAGCAAACAATAAAACAGTTTACTTGTCAGTTTACAACCAAAAGATGGCAGAGGCGGATGTGTGCTATTTTCCCCACTCATTGGGAGCCTCCTCACCATTTTCCCTCCGCTAGTCTGACGTAATTATATCGGTTAAACAATGGGCAACAATTTTCCCGTCACTTGCAGGCAGCGAGCGGGCCGAAGCCAAGACTAAACAGAGTCAAAGCCCCCAATCATTTCGGCCTGCAGTCATAATTAAATTCGTTTGACCCCAAAACTGCAGTGCCAGTGGCCGGGCAGAAAATAAATCAAAGCTTGGATTGAAAGAAACTGGCCAAAATGCCAGGCTCACTTTTCGGTGCGTGTGTGTGTCGAGGCGACTTTGACAAACGCAAAAAAATAATAAAAAAAAAGCGGCATCAATGCGCCAAATGAAGGCATTTGAAAAGCAAAATTGCAGCAGCTCTCGCCCAATTTGGACAGACTCTGGCCGTCAACCTGTTCACCTGTCTGTGGCTGTTGGTCAATTGCGAAAACTCGTTTCGCCAATGGCTTTGTAGCCCCCTCCCCGCTCCGAGCGCAATTTTAATTCGGACTCGGACATGGAATCCGTCCCGCCATCCGACCACCGCACCATTGAGTTCAATGGCTTGCAGTGGGGTCCAGCAAATTGATTTGCCAATGCAACCCAACCAAGCGAGTGAACGAACGAACGGGGAAACAGTCCAACCAACCAAGTCGCCGCCAGCATTTCCATTGATTTTTCACTTTCACCTGTCTCTATGTGTGTGTGTTTTGTAATTATTGCTTTGGAAATTATGATGGTCAATTATCTTTACAGCTCTGCTGCAGTTCGTTTGCAGCAGCAAGGTGCCAAAGACTTGCATGAAAAATAAATTGAGTGAGCTAATGAGCGGATAGGCCATAAATTCATAAGATCAGACTCACGCTTCGACCCCCGCGATGTGTTTGGAAGCGAGCTAGAAAGTTGCGTTTTTTTTTTCTAGTTATTCCGCGAATTAAATACTTGGCCCCGCTTCAGCATCCGATAGCATACATCCACATCCACTCATCCAATTAAAAGTAGTTGAACTTTTCCTGCCATTTCAGCATTATATAGCCATATCTGACAGACTCCAACGAAAGTGTCGAATGACATATCGAATATTTGTCAAGTAAAAATCACAGGCAATGATAATATTTTCAGCTATTTCTGGCAATTGGGCACGTACGATAGAATTTGATGACCCAATAAGGGAGAGTCGGATATGACAAGTCGGGTGGGGGGTGGCTGTGTAAGGTAGAGACTGGCATCCTTCCCCATGTATGTACATATGTACGTATGTATGTATGTGGGAGGGATAGACTGCTCACAATGAGCGGAGAATTAAGGGCACCATTCTGTCACATAATTGCATTTGAAAGAAATTTTAAATTGAATTCAATGAAGGTGTATTGCTTGGAACGTTGCTTGCTTGGGTTGAACAAGGCAGGGAAAGGGAGAGGGCACCGACAATACAATTCAATCAGTCAGGGAGAAGCCATGGGCAAAGGTCAACTGTGGAAAACCGAGTACGATGGGTGTGCACACACAACACATTTATATATATACATATACATATATATATATAGGTATAATTTAATTTATTTGCATTGAGGTGACAGGTTAAGGCGGGCGGCAGCATCGCTTGCAGCATGGGGAAACAAACGTGTTCCATATTGACGGAAATTTAAATTCATATTTCTTCTGCTTGCAGATCAAGTTCTTAAAGACCAAAGAGGGCACCGCCATGGTCCAAATGGGCGATTCAGTGGCCGTTGAGCGTTGCGTACAGCACTTGAATAACATTCCCGTTGGCACTGGCGGTAAAATACAGATTGCTTTCTCCAAGCAGAACTTCCTATCCGAGGTGATCAATCCATTCTTGCTGCCGGATCACACACCCAGCTTCAAGGAGTACACTGGCTCCAAAAACAATCGTTTCCTATCGCCGGCCCAGGCCAGCAAGAATCGCATTCAACCACCGAGCAAGGTAAGTCCGGAAATACATAACTCTGTCCCCTCGCCCCGCCAAAAGCTCATAAATATGCATATTCTTCTTCGTTTTCCGCTACAGATTTTGCACTTCTTCAACACACCGCCCGGTCTGACCGAGGACCAGTTGATTGGAATCTTCAACATCAAGGATGTGCCCGCCACATCGGTGCGTCTATTCCCCTTGAAGACCGAGCGCTCGTCGTCGGGCCTGATCGAGTTCCCCAACATCTCGCAGGCTGTCCTGGCCATCATGAAGTGCAACCATCTGCCTATTGAGGGTAAAGGTGAGATAGTGTTGTGTTTAAGTGTTTTTTTCAAAAGAAGAAAAAGTCAAATTCTCATCTGGCCACCCCAGAATCCAAAAGTTACACGAAATTCTCTCTCTCATCAAAACCTCAAAAAACATGCCCCAATAAGTAGGCAACATGCATTTCTGTTTTATTTTGTTACTCCTGTTTTCGTCCTTCACCTCCTCCTGCCCCTTGTCGTTGCTCACTGCTCGACAGTCAAAAGTTTTGGCAGCTACTTCGCATGGCCTTTTGACTTTTACCACCACCCATACACCAATCCACCCATCATTTCTGCCCCACTTCCCGCCCAAGCCTCTCACCCAGCCGCTGGCCCATTCCACGCAATGAAAACTTTAACCTTTCATGTTTCTTTGGCTGATTTTTGGCCAGAAAACTTTCCAGTTACGTTGCCCGCGATGAAAATTTTAATTTGGTAATTAAGATAAACAATTTCAGTTTGCAGTTATTCATAAATGGGTCGCACGCTGGAAGCGTTTCTCCAACAATTAGTCCCTAGACCCGGGACTCGGTTACAAATGGGTTGACGACCAATAAAACTTTTCACATAAATATCTCACCACCAGCAGTTCCCGCATACAAATGTGTTTACCCCTGCCATCTATTTTTTTTATTTGCCTTGTATACAAGGGCAATATACATAAATTGGGCAACATCATTTGTCAGCAATGAATACTATTCTGAAAATCAACTCTTCCAAAACTTTTTGCCTTCTAGCCTTGCAACCTTCCCCCACTATCAGATATCTTGAAGCCCAGCCACCAGAAAAATGGTTCAGTCGAGTATGGGCTTGGCATTGGCATACATTTTCCAGCAGTAACATTGTTTACACCTTGTGGCGAAAACGCTTAGCAATAGCTCGATAGAGTGGCCTCCTCCCTTGCGCATAATTTTGTCGATATCCTTGTTTGGTTATTTGCTGTTGATGCTGCTGCTGCTGCTCCTGCTGCTTCGAGTGCCGCTCGAGTGCATCGCAAACAGTAATTAAAAGTGTAAAGAATGCAAATACTCGTGCACGTATGCACATGCACACCCTCCCACGCACTCGTACCGAAGCAAATGGAAATGGAAATGCAAATGCAAACGCCGAGTGTAAACAAGGGACATTGCCTACTTTCAGGCTGCAAAATTATGCTGAAGGCAAATATATTGCTCTTTCACTCTGAATTGGCTCGTGTGCGTATTTGTGGGCGTATTTGTGTGTGCACGGGTTACAATTTTCACATATGACTGATTTCAATTGCATTGATATGCGGAATATATACTAATATTAGGATGTACTCCCACACATTGTATATTTGTGGTATTATAGCTACGGGCTCCACGTCTTTGATTGCATTGCATCGTGCAGGACAGAGCAGGGCTAGGACTGGAGGTAATCAGAGGTTAATTAATATATATTTGAGCCTATAATCCCGTTTCATTCAACCCTCCAATTGATCCATCCATCCATCCATCCATCCATCCATCCATCCATCCGTTCGTGGAATACAATCGAAGACTCCAGTAAAATCAAGAAAAAACTAAATTCAAGAATATACAACACTTATACACATTACTACACCATATCTAAATATATATGTGCTATAACCATTGTTTTTGTGAAGGAACCACATCGCCTTATACCTATTTTATACCTGCTCTCCCCCGTCTCCCCATAGGCACCAAATTCCCATTCATCATGAAGCTGTGCTTCTCCTCCTCAAAGAGCATGAACGGAGCCTGGAACAATGCGACCAACGAGGGCATGATTGAGAAGGAGAATGAGGTCGACTCCAAGGTGGATATCTACAATTGAGATTTGATAACAATTGTGTAAGCGGGGCCAACAACAACGGGCCCATCCAGAACCCACTACACAACAACCAACAAGCAGAGGGCATAAGACAACTAAACCTACAAAACTACAAAAAGAACATTCAGAGGGCGTATGCATACATGCGACAACACAGCCACAGAAAGGGGAAAATGCTTGTGCATTGATTATAAACTCAACTCAGAACCACTTCAAACAATTACTAGAAAAATCCAACCAGAAGCACACAGGGCGCAAACGCATGTACTTTTTTACGAGCCACTTACATAGACAAAACTGGACTCATCTTCAATGATTCAGACACCCTCTATCTTTCGGCCTATGTATGGTAGGGACTCGTTCAAAAGCAACACACACTATGCACACTATATAGAATATTACAAAAACATTACATGCGTTTGCGTGGCGACTGGAAAAATAAATGAAAATGCTAAAGAGCTACAAAAAATGGAAGACAACTTTCTCACACACCAAACGCAAGCCAGAAAGCACACTAACCATTTTTTGTATTGCTTCCTGTTTCTCACACTTAAATCCACTTTATCAATTGTAAAATATGTAACGTTTAATTGGTAAAAAAAATTAAAAAACGAAACAACATAAACCAGAATAAACCAAAAATAATAAAATGAATGTTAAAATAAGCTGATCCCCTGCCCCCGCGATCCCATGATCCCTCTCATAAACCTCCTATCCCACAGGCAGATATCTGTTTAGTTAATTATATGATTTGGAAACGGATACGGATATATATGCAACAAACAAGAAACATTTCTTTGGACAATATTTCGAAAAGTATTCGGGCGTGAGAAAAAGTCTTAACAAAACTATTTATTGAGAGCAAAATAAATGTGTAAATTTAAACCAAAAATTTAGCAATTTTAAATGAAATTTATTAATTTTAGTTATGAGAAAGGCAAACACTGTGGACTGCTGCAGCCGCAAATGCAGTTCATTTTAAATTTTTACTTTAGCAAAAAGAATTAAAAAAGAAAAGAAAATCACAGAGAGGGAAGAAGAAAAACTTGCACAAGCCAATGTTTTTACTATTAACAAAACAAGAAAAGACAAGACGATAAACATAATTTTTGTGCTTAATTTACAAAGTTGAAAAAGGCATAAATTTATGTGTACGAGCTGTATTTGTATTTACATTAAAATTAATATTAATTTTACACTAAATGTAAAAAGTGAAATAACTAAAAACAAAACAAAAAAAAAACAAACAAAAGCAAAAATATTAAACCTACCAGAAATTAAGTTAAGTGCAAGTGGGGAGACATGCCAATCGCAGACATAAAGCAAAAATCCACATATTTTTGAGGCGTTTTAAAGTAAGAGAAGAGAGAGCCAAACATTTCAAAACTCCAAGTAAAGTTAGCAAAAGCAGAGCGACGACGACGAGAGAAGGATTAGGGCGTATTGCAAATGCGGATAATGGTAATAAAAACAACATAAAAGAAAAGAATTAATTAACGATATCAGCAATAAAGCAACAGCAACAACACCATATCAAAGGCGTATGTTAGATTATCTATAACGACATAACTAAACATAAACCAGAAATGCTAAGTAGTAGTGTTATGTATATCTAATTGGTTCACCTTCGTTTATCATTTTACGTTCAAACCCGAACAGGCGGCAGCCTGAGAACCAGAGAGTCTCAGCTGGTAGCGCCTGTCTGTACATTATACAGGGCGTTGTTCCATATATCCTAAATTCAAATCAACGAATCCTTACACTATGCTACGGCCGCGAATCGAATTTCTTCACAACACTTCCCACACACTTCACCACCCACATTCACCGCTTGACGGAATCATTTGCTTCCATACAGATCGTACTTCATCCATCATCAATCAACAATCAAACTATGTGCAATTTGGGCTTTAAACGAGACTTTATTTCCTTCTATTTATTTATTGCAACTCCCTCTCATTTCGAAATCTAGTTCGTGTAATTATTTCAAGTGTCTTTACAGTCTTAGTTATTATGTAAATTGTTTTTTAATCATTAATTGTACAATATTTTTGTAAAGATTAAGTATTATTGTACTTAATTTAAATTACGAACATGATTTATTGACAGGCTTGAATTAGCCGAAACAAAAATAAAAACAAAACAATAAAAAGGGAGAAAAAATTGCAAACAAAAAGAAAATCTCGTTAATAATTAATTGATAAATATTAATTTGTAAGAAATAAAGCAACAACGATCTTGAAGCTCCTAATTAGATAATAATCCAATCAAACAATAAAATTAATAATATATAAAATATAAAATATAACGAATAACAAACTTGGTAGCTATATAATTTATAAACACACATCTGATAATATGGAATTTAAATTGTTAATAGTTTTATTCGGCTTCTCCCTGGAGGGAGTGCCTGTGCGTTTTATTTTTATTGCGTATTTTATTGCTTTTAATATCGTACATTTAGTTTTTTATGAGTTGAAATAGCAAACAAAATAAAAGATATATATTTAGCTGCTGTTTCAAAATGAAACGGCAACTATAGTTAAATATATAATGCATAAATGTCCGTATATGATATATGATTTGTTTTATTTAATATTTAAATTTTGTTGTTATTTTTTAACGCGTATCCTTTAAGCCCAGAGTTTGTAACATGCGCGCTCATTTTTTGATATAAATATATATGTAAAAGAATCTGGCAATTGCATTTTTATTTTGATAACCGCCACCGCTACAAAAGCAACATTATCGAGTTTTTCCATATTCGAATAGGAATTTAAACGTGACAAATAATTTTCTTAAAAACTAAACAACACTCGCAATGCATCAAAAGCCAATACAAGACAGTTATTGGCATCCCAAGAACGCACATCCCTCACGCCCTTTTCATTTCATTTACGAGCATTACGATCAGCGACTAATGACAACCCATACCTAAACCAAAAGATATGCCAAATAACTTAACGAGTAATCCTCAATTTTTAACATATCGAAATTTTGAAAAAGCATTCAGAGAAAACGCCCCAAGTGGCAAATTTTACACTTTAGGCATTATAAATGTAAAAAGGATAATCCAAGCTACCCAAAACACTTTCCAATGATCATCAAAATGGCGAACGAGCATAGTCCTTGCAACAATCCTTTGTGAAAACGCCAAGAATTGTACATACGAGTAAACATATAGAGCAAACCAATTAAACAAATAATCGACGGAATCCAATAACGGGCCTAAGCCATACGTTGTAATTACCGACTACTTTAAAGTATTATTTAAAAATCAAAATTTAAGGGATATGAAAACTAGGACAATTATTTTTAGTTCATTTCCGCTTGCTCCCCAAATTAAAATTTAGCAAGAAAATTACTTTCTAGTATCAATTACTTAAGCTTGAGTTACGCATTCAAAATCAAATCAAAGAAAATTAGTCAAATTTCGTTAAGTAGCCATTTCTGGTAAATTGAAATTGTAAATCACTTTAAGGCTGTTGGCGGCCAGAACTTGTTACGAGAGGAAAGGCCGCAAAGTCGGCTAGCGTTCGCTATTTGCATGTTATGTTAAGTACCAATTATTTTGTTCTGTTTTCCGTTCCTTTGTTTTTCTGCGTTTTGCAATTGCCTTGTAGTTTTCAACTCCAGGAAAGGCGCATTTGTTCCGATTTATTCAAACTTGTGTTCCCAATCCATGATTTGTTCGACTGGGATGGCATTGCTCACGATTGACGATGGCCCATGGACAGAGTCTATCCCAGAATTTGATGGTAATCTCAAGCGCTTTGCCTGAACACACCAGCAATACAAAATGGACCAGTTTATTCAGTATTGAATTGACAACCACCAAGAATCAAAAAAACCAAAATTATGAAAATTTGTGAAACCGTCCAATAAACACAAGAACAGCAATACGACACCACACACACGAGTTGAAAACTGGCTACAAGAATACTTTATATGGGGGAAGGAAACAGAAGAACAATTGCTTTTGTTTCCAATGTGTCTTTCAGTGAGCTTTATATTGCAACATTTCGGAGTACTCGAATTCCGCTTTTCCACCTATGTTCCTTCCATGATGCTTACACGAGTTACAACTACAAGCCTACCACCTACCAATTACAGGATAAACTCAATTTGCTAAACATTTTCTATGATCAAGAGACTTTTTAGTTGCTACAAACCTTTTCTAAGATTTGAGTTATTTTCCCCAAGAAGCTAAAGAGAAACACTAAACAAAACCAAGAACTTTGTACACCGAAACGAATTCATAATTATCTACAGTGCATGTGCATATTGAGATCAAACATGAATTAAAAATGAATAAAACTATAAAAAAACGAATTCAAGATCAACTATATTCTTATAGGCTTATAGTTTATACTTACATACACACTTACAAATACTTATATACATAAATATTTATATATAAACAAATATATATAGGTATATATATATATCAGAAGAGGTCATAACGAGCAAGGTATTAAGACACCACTCATACACATATACATCATATATACATATAGTTTTAATAGGAGGAATAATACGAAGCAGCGTGAGTCAATTTTAAATGCAAGCGAATCCCAAAAACTAACAAATATACTCTTACCAGCACCCAAAACTATGAGTATTATGAGTATTATAGTTACTTTAACTCATGCATACATTGAGGGCAAGGGAGTACAATGGCAGGCATAGCCAAACATAAACATAATTACACCACGAATTACACACACACACTACACAACAGACACAGACAAAGATACAGATACAGACAGACGAAGGACGAAGTCATGTTTTAAAGGCAAACGGACAACTGCATAGTGTAGTCGTACGCGTAATTACTGGTGATAATTTTGAAAAAATCTAAACAAATCAATGCTCGTATGAGTTATAATAAATACACGCAAATTCTAGCACGTTTGAATTTTCAATATATGTCTATTATGTACTAAACGCGTATAAATATATATATGTATATGTATATATATATATATATATTGAAGATTTCTTATAAAACATACATATATACATTAATGTCTTAGTGTGCAGTCTATAGAAATGTAAGCCACAGCGCAGCATAAACGAAAAAGCAAGAAACGAAATTAAAGAGTAAATGAAATTATTTGACCAATGTTCGAGTATTAGTGAATTAGTCATTGTATCTAGCAAACATTATTTAGTTTCCTGATATGCAACATAAATAATCCACCCACCCAGGGGCCCCAACACAGGCCCTGGAGACTCTGGGACCTGGGATCGCAGGGCTCTAAATAATTTATTAGCATTTTTAAGCCCCCTCTCTACGGAACGATTCCTATATTTAGTCCCCAATTAGTTGGTGTATTGTATTTCTGTTGGTGCAATCACAATTGTCGGTGCTCTGGGTTGGCTCCGAGTTCGAGTCCAGCCAACGCCGCTTTGGAAAACACCGATAACTGGCCAGTTCTAGGCACAGCAGTGCCATAGATATCGTATGTATGTAGTTTCCACTCAACAATTACCGGTTGTAAGCACACAGATGCATATACCCACAGCAAGAGCCATTACCGATAACCGGAAACGCACACACACACACATTCGAAGCGCTGGGCAGCAGGGAAGTTGTTTCGTTAACCGTGTGCAATATGATTTGACCTGTGTTCAGTTAACACACTCTCATCTGATAGTAATAGCAATGTTAGTATGCAATTTAGTTGAATTTCTGTTGATCGATTTAGTTTAGTTTAGTTAGTTATACTTTAATTTAGAGTTGATTGTGTGGCGGAAGACGATTCCCAGTTTTACACAAGCCGAATACTCACCTTATTACACACGGCCACACAAACATACACTTGTTAAACTAATCCACCGAATAAAACAATCTCATTAAACGATTTAAACATTTAATGCATTAACAAACAATTTTCGCTGTCTCCGCCTTGAGCTTTCTGTTCCATTGCGTTGCGGTTTGGGGGAGTGTGTACTCATTATTTAGGCCGCGACTGTGGGGCCACAGTAGGGACTCGTATTACCCACAAGCCCACAAGAGGGAATATCGCATAGAGACAAATTTAAATCGAAATTCTAATTGTTTAGTTGAAGAGTCGTAAAGAAATCGTATTGTAATACATTTAGTGAATAAATAGGGAGGTAGTTTACACGTAATACTTACACACCTAACATTTACATACATACATACATACAAGCATACAAATACAAATACATAATTATACATTACATAAATACTAAGTACACGTATTACATACCTACATATAGACAGACGAACATGCATACATAACATACATACATACATACATACAAACATACATACTAAATACATATATAAGTCTACGAATGCAACATAATCACAGCAAACTCCTTTTGATAACTTATTTTTGAATCTATGTACGAAATAGTTTTTGAAACATTTCTGCGTCGCATTTACACACAGGCACACAGACATAATCAGCAGTTAGACACACAAACATACTTATATACATACATACATACATACATAAATACATACATATATATATATGTAAATATATATATATATATAACTACATGTAAATGTACATCAATCGACCATCTTTCGCTTAAATTTAAGTACAAGTAGGTATTGAGCGAGGCGGAAGTATTAACAGAACCCAGAAACAAAAGACAAACAAAAAATATATCATTTACTGCACGGCAAAATTTGCTTCAACAGGAACACACACAGACACAACACAACACAGACACAAACACAGACACACACACAAACACACAAATAAGAAATTATTAACAAATATTCAAAACTACTATTTATTAAACGTTGTTAGCATCAGAAAACCAGAAAAAGAATAAGCAAACTGATGAAATCGCTGTAGTGCAAATGCAAAACTAAGAACAAAAATTGTAAACGAACATTGAAACTTATTTAATTTTAAGCCAAGTTTTGCAGCAAACGAACAAAAAGACAATTCTCGAATACATTAACTACCACAAAACAACAGCAATGCCACAACAAATACAAAAATATACGAGTACATACATAATACTACAATTCTTTGATCTTAAAGCAGACGAAAACCCAGAATACCAAAACAGAAAAAAAATAAATGAAAAACTTAAACTTATACACAAAAGAAACTCGAACGAAAAACCTTGTTTTATTTAAGAGCAATTTACTCGTGCTCCTGCAGTAATGCTCGTACAACCTCG